TTGGTTCTATGGTAATAGCTGTTAGTTCTTGCTAGCTAGCATCAACAAAAAGGATCATTATCTAATAACCCAGCTTTAGCTTATTCTTTTAAACTCCACATTTTAGTTACTTAAATTAAAAATGAGTCATTTTAACCCTGTTTTAGGTAGAAAACTAAACTCAGTATGCTGGCCCAACCCTGCTGAATTAAAACTACCTCAGTTTGGCTTTGTCCAGAGTCGACGCAGTGCTGCGTCACAAATTGGGTTGTTTTAGCCAGTTTTTAATGTCCTTTGGTGTTTTGAAGCACGTTTGCATGACTGTCTCAGAGGAGTTGACGGGGGAGAGGGCTGGCACCGGAGGCCATCTTAACACCAGCAAACTGTTTTTCTCCACTATGGAGTGTGCTGTTAGTGGGAATCAGTTTGTTTGGTGGCTCCTCACATTGAAGAAGTCCTTTGGATAAAGGAGAAAAAGTTTCAGAAAAAAAAATAAAACTGTCCAGATGACCTGACTGAACATTGTTGGATTTTATACCTGGATTATTGAGAATGAACTTTGGTGTTTTTTGTGTGTAGCTGAGTCATTTCATGCTCTGGCATGAAAATCACAAGATATGTCCATGATATGCTCGACCTTCAAGTTTCATTTAAACAACTTCGTAAAGTTGTGTAAGTTTTGTTTTTCTTTAAATTGACACCAATGTCTTTGACTTTAGTCTCACATAGATACAGCAACACAAAAAAAGTCTAATAATAGTGACTCACATCACATGTCTCAGACTGAATTAAACTACACAAACAGATATAGAAGCTAGCTGAGAGGTCACACTCCAGATTGAAATTCTTTATCCGTATACATGTGAACTGCACTGTTTCATTTGATTCAACAGGGATGATTTTTTTTAACCATTTTACTAATAGACAAACATTTTTTAAGAAAACTTTTTTGACTTGCTATCAAGCAAGAATATTGAATAAAATAAATTGCTTTCTAAAGCCAAAAAGTAATTTGGGACTTATGTTAAACGGACAAAATGCCTCCATTTTGATGTAAACCAGTTTAGAAATGCTGCCTGTGACTCGTGATCACCATTGTAAACACACACCTGTGTCACTCGCTGTCTCTAATAAGAGGCAGACAGATGTAGCATGAAGAAATGCTTTCCTGACCATGAACTCTGTCCCTTAAGTCATCTTAAAAAAAAAAAAAAACTGGATTTGTTGCCTTTAAAGTTACATTTAACCTGAATAATTGATAAATCGTGTACATTCACTGTCCTACAACTCTTAATCAGCTATAGTTTGATAAATCCTTACACATTTCTTTTAAGCTTTTGAATAAAGAAAAAACACATTTATAAACTTGTTTGTTTTATTTGATTATGAAATTATTAAAACATGAATTATGATTACAACAAAGTCCATGCTCAATAATCCAGGTATACAATCCAACATTTT